AATGGATGTAGAGAGAAGCAGGACATACTGAGAGAGCTAGAGAAGTGTTTATATGTACATCTTCTGCTGAAAGCAGAAACTATACAATAATGAATATTGGTGAGCGAGGGAGAGGGAGAGGAAAAAGAGGGAGAGGGGGGAAAGGAAGTTATTGTTAAGGAAGAAGACAGAGGAAGAATGAAAAAAGGAGAAAAACAAGAGATGGAGGTATGAACAAGAAGAGGATACAAAACAACAAGAGATGGAGGTATGAACAAGAAGAGGATATAAAACAACAAAGTCCAAGCAAAGATGAAGAATTATAAAAGAATTATAAAGAGGTAAAACAACACAATTCACTAATAAGAGATACACCTACACCAGCACAGGGAAACAATCTTCAGACAAGGTAAAGCAAGGAAAGTAGAAGATAAAACTGACAAGTGAAGAGAGAGATATACAACCATCCAAGCAAACAGTTGAGATAGAGGTGATAAAGTTGGCATACTGCAACCGCCCCTTTCCCCTCCCCTCCCCTCTCCTGCACAAATGAAGCTGTCAGTTTGGGATGTTTGTGTCTGGTTGACACCCTTATTGATGTTTCAGAGATTGATTTGTGCCTGCTGATGACGCCATTCATTCCTTATCATGACCTGATTCATGCGCCCATCATAACAAACCTTGACTATGTGCTAGGCATACCGGAGTATAATTAGAAAGGTACACTAGAGATACATTACAAGCACAGCAGTAGACATTCCAAAATGCCTTTACATTATAAATGTACCACTTGCTATAATTTTAAGGTACCCCTCCCAGCCTCCCCTGTCCCCTTGAAACCTCTGCTGTCATTCTTTTCCTTTTTCAAAAGCTAAACTCCATCAATATATTCTTTTTAATTCATAAAAGCGCATTTATTCTTTGGCCTCCATATATCGTTATCATTGTATATTTGTTAGTCGACAGCTCCTCAAAAAAAACTCTCCTAAATCCAGTTATATATTTATTCCTTCAAAAATAATAGAAAAATTGTCCCCTTCCCCTAAAACACTGAATATCTTCAGAGAGTACAGGTACTCACTAAAAAGCACTTTGTACTTAATATCAAACAAACTACATACTCCTCTTTTCCTATACAAATTATAATACATCCCTTCCCATATATTTTTGGGATAGGGGGGGGGGCTACCACATTCTTGCACCCTACGAGTTCACTTTGTGCACCATACCGCAGAAGTCAGACAATTTCTTTCGATACATTTGTTTTTCATCCATCAACTCCTCACTGCAATCTGGATGTGACTTGTTTGTTCCTTGCAACAGATTTATTTCATCTTGCCAGCCAAAAATATCCCTTCTCATCCATCGTCAAAAGAGACAAATTTTAAGGGTTTCGAAATGCTCTACAAAAAAGTTCATCATGTCATTTATTAAAGCAACACCTCCATCATGTAAATTTGTACAGACTCCTTGACATGTGTCAACTCATATCATCTTATATGAGCCTAATATCCTTCTGGCCCTAAATAGGCATCTGAACTATATAACCTACTCTTCATAGAGCCAAGAAGACAATAGCATGTTCAGCCGAAAGAAAATTTATACAAGATTCTAATAAAGAAACGTTGTATCAAGAAATTAATATGACAATTGGCCAATCAACAGTGTGTACTCATTATAAGCCCCGCCCAATTATACAATTTTTTTTTTTTGTATGATGCGATATTCAGACTAGAGCGGGACCCTAATTCTTTATCAATTTTTAGTTCGAGACGATGCTCAAACATGCGTTTTGTTATAAAACGACGTTCTAAAATCGTTTAAAATCAAATCTTGTCAACCTACACAATGCATTCAAGTTGTCAGAACACAAGTTTAAAATCAAGATGCTGCGTAAAGAGTTCAAACAAAGAGGATGAATAAAGAGGATGTAAACGGAGAAGGCAGAAGTGGATTAGATGCTTCTCAATCAATTCATTCTCGGGATGCACCGAGCAACCCACTAATAAGAGCGAATGTGAGGATAGCACGCTGCCAGGTATGTTCAAGTGATCATGTGATTGATTATGACGTCAGGTGGGCCCATCATTCACAGTCTTCATCCATTCAAGCACTCCAAGAACTAGAAATCGCTCAAGATCCGTTTGCAAAGCGAATTTACTCGAAAGAAAATCCTCCTGCATCTTGAAAATCCAATACTTAAATGCCATTCATCTAACAGCACTATAAAAATGAATAGGCCCATTTAAGAATCACAGACCATTTCTGAATTTAAGGCAAAATTCAAAAGCATATCATAAATTATAGCACTCCCATTGAATTATTTCCATTAAATTCAATTACATGAAAATAGCCTTAAGTTGAAAGAAAATATGGCAATTGTGAAAAATTAGTTTAGAAAATAAACCCCTGGCCACAGGGGCACAGAAATATTTGAGGGTTCAATACAAATTTAATATCAACTGCAAAATTAGCAAATCCTGACTGTGAGGAAAGATCCTCCTCTAAACTTTTGTCAGGAATAAACATGATATGGGACCTTTCGAATGTCGTTTCCCTTCTCAACATCTTAAAAATCAATGCGTGCCTAATGCCAAGAGAAGATCTTTTAATTGTTTGATCAAATCTTTTGGGTGTTGTTGTGTTCGCAACTTGGCAGCAAATGGGAGCCGTTGGATCACTTCCTAAATCATACATCTGTTCTTTATTCTATTGGTTTCCTCTACAGACATGCAACAAACCCCCATCCATTCTCCCCTCCCCCTCTTGGCATCATAAGGTCCTTTTTCATTAGCCTGAGAGTTTGAGATATTACATAAATCAGCAACTCCTCCGAAATATTCTACATTTTCTTGTCTCCATTGCTTCATGAATCAAGGATCGTTTTGTTACATGACGTTTCTTTATACAAAGTTCAGACTTTGACAAATGTAATTACGTAGCTAAATGATGAATGCTCATATTCTGAATGCACAGTGAAAGTCTAGAAGACATTGCAGGTGTTAAAGCCAAGGTCAGCGTTTAGGCCTTTCCTGCATGACTGGCTATTACTAATGATCCGACAGGAAGACGCCATAAAAGTATGAAGTCATTTCATAAAGACCGTCTCATCCTGATCATATCCTAATCTGCCCCTATATGATCCAGTATAAAGAGCAGTCACAGACTTGGATCAATATGAATTTGGATATGTGGGTCATTCTTCGGCATAAATGGGGGCAGTGAGGGGGAGGGGGACATGGGAAGGGAAGGGGAGGGGGTCAGGGGCAGGGGGCAGGGGAAGGGGGCATTTCTAATGATCCAACAGGAAGTTGGGATCAAAGTGTGACTTGATTTCATAAAGGCTGTCTCCTAAAGTGCCTGTATCATCCAGTGCAAAAGATGTCAGACTTGGATCAATATGATTTTACTATTTGGGTCATTCTCTAGCATAATAAAGGGGGATGGAAGTCAACAAGAAAAATGGGAGACGAGGGGTGGGAGAGGAGCATTACCAATGCTTGTACAGCAAGATGCTAACTGATTTCACAAAGGTCTTCTAAACTTATCTACTCTCTATGATCAAGTGCAATAACATGCAGTCACTCACAGACTAGCATTATGATTTGATCTGGGTCATTCTCGGTGGATGACGTTAGGAGAGACAGTGGGAAGGGGAGGGTGAGGGGGGAGGGGGAGAAGGGAAGGGTGTCAATGTTAATGAACCAACATAAAGAGGGTCTCCTAGTCATATCTTTCCTTATGATCAACCACAAAGGCAGTCACAGGACAGTGTTTGACCTGGGTCATTCTCTGGTGAGGGATGGGGAGATGGGAGGGGGGGCGAGATGGGAGGGCGAGGGGAAGGGGGAGGGGGGGGGGGAGGTCATGACTCATGATCCCACAGGAAGACACCATCAATGTATAAAATGATTTCATAAAGAGGGTTTTCTTATCAAATCTGCCCTCATGATCAAGCACAATCACAAAATTGCTTTAGGATTTCATCAAGGCCATCCCTCAGTGAGGGAGTCGGGAAGTCGAGGGGTAACTTCCTCCTGTAAGATCTATATTAGAACCAATTAAATCTCTAAATTTCAAAACCGGTCATTCACCATTGAAGGTGTAGAGGGGGAGACAGAAAGGATATTATCCGTCCCTGAGATAAAATATAAAAGCAGTCACAGACATGAATTATGATGCTATCAATGATATTGATCACAATCATCCGTCATGGGGGAAATGGGAGGGGGGATTGCATCAGTTTGGAAATGGACTTACTGATGTGAATATCTACACACACTTTGTGCATGAGTAGACCATTGGGCATAATTACTTCAAAAAATAAAATCTGAATCAAAACAATTGAAACCATCTATACATTACCACACATAACCCAGGGGAAGAAGCAGGCTACACTAAAGTTTCTTGTATTACAAAATAAAAGAGAGAATAATCCCATATCCAAAGGAGATCAGTATCCGTGCGCTTGAAGCCTCTTCTGCGAGTCTTCTCTACCTTTAATAATTGGTCAACCTACCGTGAACCAATGGATTAAAGGTGTCTACAAGATCAAGGGTAGTCGCTGGATTTAGAATGGGATGACATTCAAATGGCCTTGTAGGCCAGGTGACGAGAGAGCCCATGGGATACACTGTCACCGTGCCTAAGCCCTTTCTTCACTCGGCACACCTTATTGGCCATGTTCAAGGTCAGAAACACAGTTCTTCATTCCAGTAGAATGGTTATTCACGATATTCGCTCCCTCCGTGTACTTGTACATACTGTAGACGTCTATAAATGGGTGGCAGTAGTACTTCTCCGTATTTTACTTTTAAAGGGATACTATCTGCCAGAAATAATCACAATACAAGTTAATTTCTTTAGTGTAACAAAGTTACTCTTGTAATAAAAATTCTGATTTACGATAGGGCTATTGGTGTATCATCACGCTCACCGGGCCTTCACCATTTTTATCAGAATCATTTAATATTAACAAGAACTGTTTTACATGTATTATAACAGTCTTTTTATTGTTACAATATGTTCTGATTAGATCCAATTGCCTATGTTCTTTTGAAGGGAGTTGCTAACAAAGTCAATACAACATCAATCAGTAATACTTCAGAAGCATTCAAGATTTTCTCTGAACTGGTTCAGATTTCATGTCCTATTAATTCTAAGAACTACATGCATGTATACACTATTCTGGTCACGTAAGGCCTTACTGACGATGGGGGCACACTCAGCAGCACAGGAAGCGAGACAAGTACTGAACCCGAGATCCTCCCTAACCAGAGAGGATTAAATGTCCAGATCGTTATCGTGTCCAAACTACATTCATGTTTCCACAACCTTCACAAGGCGGAAAGTCTGGGGTATATGTAACCAGTCATGTCAACCACCGCCAGAGGGGGCAGCCGGAGCTGCTATTAACATAACCTCTCTCTTAAATGTCACATCCACCTAGCCGCTTAATGAGAGACTAAGAATATGATCCCTGCGGGAGGGAAGGGGGTACTAGATGTTTGGGATCGTTGGGAGATCAGACGACCCCTAACAACGGGTTCTTCCGTGGGGGACGTCATCGACCGGGGACCATGTGATCTGCAGAGTCATGGCTGAAGGACCTGGACCTTCCGAAGACCATCTTGTCTTAAGATCTCCAGAACATGAGTGTAATTTAAGTGGAAGTCAGAAGTTCCTGTGGTTCATGCAGATCCACTAAGGAGGGTATCCATGCTGAATTTGTATATTGATGATGACTGATAAAGATTAACTGATGATGTATTTTAAGCGACTAGCATTTATAAGCAACCAGAGGGACCTGAAGCTTTGAGACCTAGCTGAGGAACTTGCTAATGAGCATAACCGCTTTACCAAATGCCAATAACACTTCAATCTGAGTTTGAACCCAGGACCTTCAGGTTATGTGACAACTGCTCTAATACTGAGCTATCATTATTTGGAAAGGAAATGCCTGAACTTGGAACTGTGAAAATGTACACCAAGTTTGGTACCTAAAATAACATAAAGCAGTAATTAACGCTATCATGAAGTTGTAGTAGTATTGGCAATCAACTTTTCGGAACTACAAATTCAATTTGATCGTGAAAGCAAAAGGATCAATGCTGAAGTTTGTTATAAAAAGGCATATTTGGGTAACTTTGCGAACTCCTTGCTTTCCCTAAAGTCTGTCCATCATTAAAGCCGTCCTTGATCTGAGGAAGTCCTAGGCAAAACTTGCGAGGCGTAAGTCCCACGGATCTAGACTCATGGATTTCACATCCGTCATGTGGTCATGTTGATATCAGGGCTCTAGCATTCAAGTCTGCACAGGGTTCACCAGGGTTTGTTGTGTCATAAAAATAGTTTGAAATGACAGTCCCAATCATATTTGAATTACTTAAATACCAAACATTTGGGCATAATAAATTCAGAAATACCAATGAATCTTTTACATTTTCTAGTTCTTCATGGCCTTTATGTAGGGCAGGCTTCTAGAAGCTGGTTTGTCATATGCAGGTCCATTCAATACAACATATTACGGTCATAACCCACATCTTGACACTCGAAGGAATCTGGTGCACATAAGCAAATACCTTGCCCCCCACCCCCCATTTTGAGATTGCATGGGGACTTTACGTATTGCAATTTGGACCTCTGCGAATGAAGCTAGAGCGGACCCCTCTATAATGATCTAATGGTGCATAGGCTTTTGGGGTCATTCCATGTCAAATCACCCAATGGTTTTAACCCGGCCATTTTTGATTTTGATGAAACTTAGTGTACTTGTTGAGTGTGATCTCACAGCACCAAATCCAAAATTTTAGGTCAATCGGGTGAGGGGTTTGGGAGATACGGCCCACCAAATTTTGAGATTTTTTCAAAAATGGGGGTGGCGGGCCTACCTTTGAACCCTTGTATCTTGGGACCTAATGGGTCAATCTTCACAAAATTTGTATTGTTTTAAAGGGTATTCAATAAGGATTCCAATTCTGCCGCCATTTTGAAGATTCGTACATGTTGGGGTACTTTGACCTCTTGACCTCAGATTTGACCTTGAAATTGACCTTGTGGATCACGTAACTTTGACAACATTTTTCATGAAATGTAATCTCTGACATGTTCACTTAAACATGTAAAAGTTTCAGAGATATAATATTTTTTGTTTAGGAGCAATAAGGATTGAAAGTATTCATGCTCACAGATATTCACAATAACCCCTATTATACTGTATACAATACATGCAATATGCACAGTACAACATACATCTTCCACATGCTTTTTTGTTTTAGGCATATCCATCCTAAATGTCAGCAGTACTTGAATAGAAATAAAATGACAAGTTCATATAGGCCTAAAGGGTTAACAGGATGTATGGCTTTAGACCTCTGAGTCGGTTCTAGGATAATACCCCCCTGGAAAATTAACCCTCAGGAAATTCCCCCCCCCCCTGAGGACAATTACCCCCCAAGGACTATCACACCCAGAGGATTATTACCCCCCAGAAAATTATCTCCTAGGACAATCTGTCCCCCCCCCCCCGAGGACAATCAACACCCAGACAATTTCCCCCTAGGACAATTACCCCCCCCCCCCCCCCCCCGGGAAAATTACCCCTCAAGAATAATATACCCCAAAAAATAAATCTGCTTTGATTAAAACCACCTTATTATCAGGTTGGACTTCCACTTTAACGAATAGGGGGGGGGGGGGTAATTGACCTCTGGGGTAATTGTCCTTAGAGGGTAGTTTTCCGGGGGTGAATTTTCCAGGGGGTAATTATCCTAGAACCGACTCAGAGGTCTAAAGCCATACATCCTGTTAACCCTTTAGGCCTATATGAACTTGTCATTTTATTTCTATTCAAGTACTGCTGACATTTAGGATGGATATGCCTAAAACAAAAAAACATGTGGAAGATGTATGTTGTACTGTGCATATTGCATGTATTGTATACAGTATAATAGGGTTTATTGTGAATATCTGTGAGCATGGATACTTTCAATCCTTATTAATCCAAAACAAAAAATATTATATCTCTGAAACTTTAATATGTTTTAGTGAACATGTCAGAGATTACATTTCATGAAAAATGTTGTCAAAGTTACGTGATCCACAAGGTCAATTTCAAGGTCAAATCTGAGGTCAAGAGGTCAAAGTACCCCAACATGTACGAATCTTCAAAATGGCGGCAGAATTGGAATCCTTATTGAATACCCTTTAAAACAATACAAATTTTGTGAAGATTGACCCATTAGGTCCCGAGATACAAGGGTTCAAAGGTAGGCCCGCCACCCCCATTTTTGAAAAAATCTCAAAATTTGGTGGGCCGTATCTCCCAAACCCCTCACCCGATTGACCTAAAATTTTGGATTTGGTGCTGTGAGATCACACTCAACAAGTATACTAAGTTTCATCAAAATAAAAAATGGTCGGGTTAAGATTTTCAGATTTTTCGGGTGATTTGACATGGAATGACCCTTTGGTAAAATGTCACATTAGCATCACTAAGGTTAAAGGGTTTCGAAAGACAATTACCCTTGGTCCTAACCTCTCTTTTTGTTGTTGTTCCAGAAATACTGTCCAAATCAGAATCCTTGCAATAATTATTATTAGAGTGTATATGTCCCGATGGGACAAAGAACCAATTCATATTTGAGAACATGATTAGTCATCAAAAACCAATATTCCCACTCGAACATTTTCACACGTACATGCCTTGCGAACATGACACCGACATTGAGACAACCCTGACACAGAGACAGAGTGTGCAGACAAAAAATAAACAAAGGATAAAAATAAATCTAACATGAGACTTAATCTCCTCTGAAGAAAAAAAATCATATCATCGTCACAAGGATTTTGCTTAGCCACGTATTCTATGGAATTGTGCACAAATCATATTCCAAGTGCCATGCAAGAAATGCTATACAACAAAAAAGCTTTGAATTTGAACTCTATTTTGTCGAGCTCTTGTTGAGTATTTTTTGTGGAATACTTAGGTTTCCCTCTAAAATTCTTTGACAAGAACAATAAAAGGGTACTGGTAAGTTCACAGTGCACTCTTAATATCCACGAAGAGATATCTCTCTTTTTTCAGAGAGGGGGGGGGGGGGGGGGGAGGGATTTCCCCTAGGTTTTACAGGCCTACCATATACAGAATAACAATATGCCTCCATCTGTAACTGAAAAAAATGCACAGGAGCGTTTCAAACGGATCAATATCGGTGACAAATGTGAACTCTAATGGTAAGATCGGATTTCATATTCCATCACCAGAGATTCATATCAGAACTGTGCTTGAACGCATCCCAACAAAAACCACCCTCCAGAGAGAAAGAGGAGGCACATTGTTGCTACGGTTACAGATGTGGGGTCGAGATTAGACTGCATTGGCCAGACGCTGAAAATATATGGGCTTAAAAAAGAAAGGCTGTGAAAGACTTAGCATGTATATCAATCAAAATCCAGATCTATACTTGATTTTGGTAGTGAAAGAAGATCTCAGAGTTTTATCTGAAACAAATGAAATGGGAGAAGTACATAATCCTGTTTAAATAATTATGAACATTGATCAGCACACACAATGATTCATAACAATGTAAACAGTGAAGCAAAAGGTATAATTTGCAAACATTATTATGTAGATATCATATAACTGTCAAAATCTATTTGTATAGCGCTTGCAGAAAGCAAACATGCCAGAGCTGAAGTTCATTTTTATTTACAAGTCTGGCAATTATTATCATCATTTATGTAATAACTGATCTCCCAAGATCACTACTTTGTTTAGACCACACTAGTTCGCTCAAGCTTTGTTAGGCATATGGGTTGAATAAAAATAATGACAGGTTGGGAAGTAACATATTTCCTATTTTTTTCCAAATGTTCTGAAAATACATGACAGTTTTGACACATATTACAAATCCCCCGTTGAGTGCTAGAAAAGCATCAACTCCATGGTTAATACCCTTCTCTCGACAGACCAAATAGATGAAATATCATGAACCCCTACCCCCCCCCTCCCCCCATCATAATAAGTTTGCAATATATGATCTTAATAATAAACATTGTCTTTGTACTTCATCCCCCTCCCCCCCTTCATCAAAATTGTTACTATAAGATCTATAATTTAATGGTTTATGCATATAGATACTGACTTTGTATACAGCCGACTATTCCCAAGTTCATAATCAGGACAGTCGACTACAAGTAGACAGAAAGCTAGGGTCAATGAAAAATATTCATGAGTCATTTGATGAAGAGCTAGAGAGGGGCATAATTACTGGAGCTCCTGAATACCAAAATGCCCCAGGGGGACAGAAGATGAGTACAGACTGACCAATCCATAAATGGATATTACGGCCTTATGAAGAAATGGATAGAAGTGAATCAATGCTATAGAGTTGGTCTTGTTTGTGGGTGATGTAGGGCTAATATCAATGGATCGCCTGGAAAATGATTTTAGACAATTATTACAGAGATTGGCTTTATCAAAAATTAATATTGCCGGCAGAGGATTGATGCATAATATTTTCCTTTCTTGTGGTTTATATCAACCCAGTGACTCCTGAGTTCTCTCTTTCCCCAAGGCTTAATACTGGACAATGAAGTTCCCAAAGACGATGGGTTAAAATAAAACATAGCTCTTGGAGGAGATGTTTCTGCAAATTAAATGATCCGCTTCTATTATTGCAGAAATTGGCTTTATCTGCAGTAGGAGTGATGATTTATTTTTATTTCATGATATTGGACTCCTGAAACTCTCTCATTCCTAGGACTTTGCAGGAAAGACCAAGTTCACAAAAGCACTGGTTTATAAAGAAGAATTAGGGTCTTGAGGGAGATATTTCTGGCAATTCTGGAGATCAACTTCTGGAGATCAGCTTACAAGAAATATTGAACGTATTGTTGGGTCCCATCATAGAATTTCTTTTTATTCATAAGTAGATTCCATACAAGAAGTAGATTTCATTCAAGAAGTAGATTTCATTTAAGAAGCATGATGAACATATTGGAGATAATGGGACTCTAATGACTGATGATGAATCAGATTACATCTCATATGTCTCGGACATTACAGAGTGGGTTTATTGAACTGAGTTTATTGAACTGACCGGGTATGGCAACTATGCATTATGAGGGGAAATAGATAGGATGTACGGGAGACAGGGAGAGTAAGACAAGACATCAAGATGATGGATCTTATTGTCATACCATATGATAATTGTCTTACTCTGCAGTCTTGAGTTGAGTTGCTTAAAGGTACACCATTGAAATTGAAATAATGCAAACATATGTATTGGGCAGTACCTCACAAAAAGGAGGAGGAGAATCCATAACATTTTGTTTGAAGTCTATAAAAAAAGAGAACAAAACAGAAAACATAAAGTGGCATTATTTATCACATGAATTATGTTTTCACTATGTGTTTTCTACAATCATTAAAAGGGCAAATTTCTATTTAAATAACCACCATCGTGGTTAATATCAAATTATCAACCTTGCTGATTGAAATAACATCTAAAATAAAAATAGATTTATGAAAATCCTATCATTGGAGAAGAGCTTCAACAAGGCTAATTATGGTAGTACATCTTTTTAGGAATGACAACAGCAGTACAAACAAAAACTGGGTGACTTCATTAGATATGGCACATGTACAAGTCACTTATTACTATCATCTATATGCGCAGAAGGCAAACAGCTCTCAGAAATCATTTACCGCATACAGCCTTGAAATATGTCCACTTTCATTTCCAAAATCTAATAAAGAATTCAGTCACCACAAATATATCTTCTTTTAAAGCAAATGTTTGCAGGAGGAAGAATAAAGTCAGATTCCAGAGGTTCTGATCGATATTTTTGGACATATTTTTCACCAGTCATGCTACCAAGAACTCATGACTGTATCTCATATTCGTTTAACTGGTCGACTCACGCTACTCTCTCTCTCTGATGAAGGAGGTTAATGAAAATCAATTTACTCAAGCATCGTGGCATGAGGAGGAGGGATAGCCCGACTCCCCGGCTGCCGGCTGGAAAATATCTTTGCATTAACAGACCGCAGTGATGAATGGGGGGATGACTCATTGGCTAAATTTCATTTTCCACTATAGCTACTACGCTTCTGCGAATCGATGAGAAAAGCAAACTTTGGCGGTCGGTGTGAAAGCTGGAATGTGAGAGGATGCGGTAGATGAGGGTTCTCCCGTGGACGATTTGGTGATGATACACTGGATAATCAATGTAGGGTACACACGCTGCTGGATGAGGGATAGCCCTGGTTAAATATTTGCCCGCTGTCTGATTAGTAAAGTGTAGAGGGCATGGGGGTAAGTGTTGGCCATTGTTTTGTATGATACCCAATGCAAATAAGGCTTATATGGTGGCAACATATAATTAGATTGTATAAAGCTCTGTAGGCCTCTAAATGCACTTGTATATATATGCAGGCCTCTGTTTGCCTCTGAAAGTCAAGCGGGTCTACTATACAATGTAAAATAAAGCCAATTACTACTTGCATTATGTTCATCCATCCCATTAGGTGCATTAGATAATGGGGGGGGGGGGGGATCTCCAATCAACCGTTTTTTACATTCAGGTTTAATGCCAATACACTCTTCCAATTGCCAAAGTAAGTTAAGCAGAAACCTGGTAGCAACAAAATTAAGATGATGCTTTATTATTGCCTACTGATGACAAGAACTTGGAAAATGATAAGTTAGGAACTATCACTTACTAAAAAAGTTATATCATGATACTCTTGGATCAACTCTTAAAAGAACAAACTCCACATCTTCATCAGATAGATACACCAGGAGTATTGAGTGAGAACACCAGATGAAAGAATAGAAACACTAAAATTTGATCACAATATAATATATGTATATGTCATAAAAATTCATGGCTGGGACTAAATGAAAAATTACACAGACTAATGGCAGCCAACAGACCAATACTCTACCTCCTCAAGTATGGTTACACTTCTTTTTACTGCTATAAATCATACACTCGACTATTCCTTGTTCAAGGGAAGATGACTGTGCTTTAGTTCAAAAGGTCTAACAATATGTTTTTGAATTCTAGATATGTATGATTCCATATTTCAGGGCTTAAATTAATCCAAGGCCACCAAGGCCATGGCCTTGGATGCCCTTTTGATTAGCCTCAATGCCCCTCTCATTGGCCTTGGAGATTTTGCGTGCCCTTTCCAATTCTTCCTATTTGTGCTGTAATATAGGAATGTGCCCTACAGAAAAGTGGCCTTGCCCTAAAAATATTGAAATTTAAGGCCTGATATTTTGTTGGTACTATGAATACTTCATGAATGCCAGCCTCTTCACAGACACCAACTACACATACTACCAGTTATCTAGTCTACATGTACCCCTTACCCATCCCCAAACATGTGGAGTAATATCCAAATGTTATAGCCCATCAAGTTTGCAAATTGAAAATTCATGTCCCAACCCTACTTGCGCACCTCCTCCGGTGTGAAGGTACACATGGGTATACCATCAGGGTGATCTGCAGACATGCCCCCTGTTCAGACTACCCATATTCATTGTATAACTACAGTATATGAAAACCATATACTGTATCTTTATGATTAGTAATAAGTATTTATTTTTTGTAGTCTGAACATGGTATGTAAACTAACATGCGCGTTTGAGCATCATTTTGAATGAAAACTCTATAGAGATTCAGGTTCCTGTTCTTGTCTTTTAGACATTTCATACAAAATCTGAACAAGGATTTTGGCCAGAAGGGCTTATATTGTATAAACATTGATGATTGACCAGCTGCCATGTCATCTGACCTCTTCAAAAGTAATTTCCTTACATGACGTTTCTTCATACCACACCTCATTTCACCTCTGTACGTCACTTATGAACATGAACGTTCTTAATACGTTTCTTTACGCAATTCGACGTTTCTTTACAGGCGTTTCATCTAAATTTCCTCCAGTCTAAACAGGCTAATGGTCCCTTCAAAAGTAGTTTCCTTACATCACGTTTTTTCATACCACACCTCATTTCACTTCTGTATGTCACTTCTAAATATGAACGTTCTTTACGCAAATTGACGTTT